AGCATTCCGACATCTTAATAAGGAGTCGTTCAGGACCCTGTACACCGTGTACGTTAGGCCCATATTAGAGTATGCGGCACCAGTTTGGAACCCACACCTAGCCAAGCATGTAAAGAAACTAGAGAAAGTGCAAAGGTTTGCAACAAGACTAGTTCCAGAGTTAAGAGGTATGTCCTATGAGGAGAGGTTAAGGGAAATCAACCTGACGACACTGGAGGACAGGAGAGATAGGGGGGACATGATAACGACTTACAAAATACTGAGAGGAATTGACAAGGTGGACAAAGACAGGATGTTCCAGAGACTGGACACAGCAACACGGGGACACAGTTGGAAGCTGAAGACACAGATGAATCACAGGGATGTTAGGAAGTATTTCTTCAGCCACAGAGTAGTCAGTAAGTGGAATAGTTTGGGAAGCGATGTAGTGGAGGCAGGATCCATACATAGCTTTAAGCAGAGGTACGATAAAGCTCATGGTTCAGGGAGAGTGACCTAGTAGTGACCAGTGAAGAGGCGGGGCCAGGAGCTTGGACTCGACCCCTGCAACCTCAACCAGGTGAGTACAACTAGGTGAGTACACACACACACACATACACGCACACACACACACACACACACACACACACACACACACACACACACACACACACACACACACACACACACACACACAGATGTGTCGCAGGGATGTTAGAAAGTATTTCTTCAGTTATAGAGTTGTCAGGAAGTGGAACAGTGTGGAGAGTGATGTAGTGGAAGCAGTCTCCATACATAGCTTTAAGAAGAGGTATGATAAAGCTCATGGAGCAGGGAGAGAATGGACCTAGTAGCGACCAGTGAAGAGGCAGGACCAGGGGCTGTGAACCTACCCCTGCAACCACAATTAGGTAAGTACTCAGACACACACATACCCCATCTGCCGACCTATACATACAAAAAACAACATTGCGGGGAGTTCAGTGGACTACTGCACTAGCTCGTGTATTGGTTATGTCCTCCGGCTATTATGCTCGCTAATGGACAATTGACAGAGGAATTTCAAGTCAGATCTGGTCCGGTCTTCTGTGTAACTCCTCCCCCTTCCTGTTTAACCCCCCCCCCCACTCTTCTGTATCTCTGTTAAACCACCTCTTCCACTATCTGTTCGTCTTTATCATCTTGGCTGTCTACTTCTTCATCTACCCCTTTCTGCCTGCATCTTTATTTACCTCCTCTTATTTCTCTGCCTAAACTCTTATCTATGTTCCTTTTCTTTATCTACCACCTACCGTTTCTTTACCTACTACCCGCCGCGTCTTTGTCTGTTACCCGTCCCTTTATCTACTACCTCCTCCCTTTTCTACTACCCATCTCTTTACTACTCGTCCCTTCTTTATCTGTTACCCGTCGCTTCTTTACTACCCACCCCCATCCTTATCTACTACCCGTCCTTTCTTTAATTACTACCTGTCCCTTCTTTATCTACCTGTCCCTTCTTTATCTACCCGTCCCATCTTTATCTACCCGCCCCTTCTTTACTGTCTTCCTCTTCCATTCATCTATAAAATTTCACACACACACACACACACACACACACACCACACACACACACACACACACACACACACACACACACACACACACACCGTCGGTAGCCTGCCATTGTAGTCGCTGCAGTAGTTTACCTGAGTGAAGCCAAGGTTAATCTTTTTGCTACGCTGCCCCTGGTCTCTGTTACTGCCTCACCGCTACCACCACCATCTTCACTTTGAGCAGTAATACCATTAAAGCCACCATCCTGAAATCCACCACCACCACTATTATCACTGTCAATACTATCATCACCACTGCTACCATCACCATGGAAGGATTTACCATCTGTGACCGTGATATTCATAAAATAGTGTCTTCAGCACACGAGCCACTGACCCTCCTGCCATGATTCCTGCTCGTGACTCACCTGTGTGTGTGTGTGTGTGTGTGTGTGTGTGTGTGTGTGTGTGTGTGTGTGTGTGTGTGTGTGTGTGTGTGTGTGTGTGTGTATGTGTGTGTGTGTGTGTGTGTGTGTGTGTGTGTGTGTGTGTGTGTGTGTGTGTGTGCGTGCGTGTGTGTGTGTGTGTGTGTGTGTGTATGTGTTTGTCTGTGTCTCTGTGTCTGTTCTCACTTGCCTATTTCTAGCTACACATGTCGAGTCTCAGCTCCTGGCCATGCCTTTCACATACCCTCGCAGGCCCTATCATACATATTCCTTAAACTGTATATGAAGTCTGCCGCCTCCTTACACTCCTTAAGTTGAAGAAATGCTTCCTAAGATCCGCGCAACTCATTTTTTTTTTGGGGGGGGGCTTCCAATTTTGCCCTCCTGTACCCGTTTTTCACCTCTCGAACAATCTATCTCTGTCCACCCTATCAGTTCTTCATATTATGTTCCGTCATTATCCTACCACCCCTGGCCCTTCTATCCTCCATTGTCATCAAGTTTCCCTTAACAGCGGGACTAATCTTGATGCTATCCTCAGCACCTTCTTTATTTAACATGCTTTCTCAGGTGAGGGTTCCATCCTAGCGCTTCATTCCCTAAGAAGGGCCCGACATGTATATAGGGTCGTTAATAACCCTTTGTTTATATTTCTGAAAGGTTATCCTGGATTTGACAAACGAACGTTTGTTGCAAAGGTTATTCAGTTGATATGTGCCTCTTGTAAATGTACTCGAGGATCGCCACAATATTACTTTCGCAACCGCAAGGAAAATGCTAGGCTGGATTATTAGATTATTCACGGATAACTCGCATATAAGAGAAAGAAACTTGTGACGACGTTTCGGTCCGACTTTGACCATTAACTAGTCAAGTGTCTAGTTAATGGTAAGACACATATGCAACAGTTAGGTATCTTTATTTTGAAACGTTTCGCCTACACAGTAGGCTTCTTCAGTCGAGTACAGAAAAGTTGATAGAAGCAGAAGATACATGAAGACGATGTAATCAGTCCATCACCCTTAAAGTTTTGAGGTGGTCAGTCCCTCAGTCTGGAGAAGAGCATTGTTCCGTTGTCTGAAACAATATGAAGTTGAAGTGACAGAATCGGGCCTTATATAGTGCCAGGAAGTGAGACGTAGGTTGATTTGGGAGGGCAGGTCCCTCTCAAACCCAGCCGTTCTCACTAGTAGAGGTTGTCGAAGTTGATGGTCTGTACCAAGATACCCTTGTGTTGCAGTGTCTGACAGAATGAACATTAAAATGGTATAAAATACCGACAGATTGTTAGGTAAGACACATATAAGACACATATGTTCATTCTGTCAGACACTGCAACACAAGGGTATCTTGGTACAGACCATCAACTTCGACAACCTCTACTAGTGAGAACGGCTGGGTTTGAGAGGGACCTGCCCTCCCAAATCAACCTACGTCTCACCTCCTGGCACTATATAAGGCCCGATTCTGTCACTTCAACTTCATATTGTTTCAGACAACGGAACAATGCTCTTCTCCAGACTGAGGGACTGACCACCTCAAAACTTTAAGGGTGATGGACTGATTACATCGTCTTCATGTATCTTCTGCTTCTATCAACTTTTCTGTACTCGACTGAAGAAGCCTACTGTGTAGGTGAAACGTTTCAAAATAAAGATACCTAACTGTTGCATATGTGTCTTACCTAACAATCTGTCGGTATTTTATACCATTTTAATGTTCTGTCTAGTTAATGGTCCAAGTTGGAGCGAAACGTCGTCTTGAGTTTCTCCTATAAGTGGGTTATCTGTGTATTATTCCAGTCACGGTATTGTGACTTTGTCATTTTGATTATTATTATATTCCCTTTGAACAGTAAACACTAATATTTGATACACTGGATAATTCAAAACAGCCTAAACAAGACAGAGCCAATGACGATTCTCTTCAAGTCTGCTGCTCGCTCTTGGCTGTAATATTGTTGTATACTAATGTCTCAAGGTCAGTTTTCTTTAGTCAGATTCCTAGCCTCTGTTCCCAGAACCTATACTTAGTTTCCGGTCTTCTTTTTTCCTTGTACAATTTTCGTAGCCTTATATTTGCTGTGGTTGAATTCCAGTAGCCACTTACAGGATGAATCCTGTATTTATTGAGATTCATTGTAGCCTCTAAGGCATGTATTTATACATACACACACACACACACACACACACACACACACACACACACACACACACACACACACACACACACACACACACACACACACACACACATACACACACACACACACACACACATCACAGGGATGTTAGGAAGTATTTCTTCAGTCACAGAGCTGTTAGGAAGTGGAATAGTCTGGGAAGTGATGTAGTGGAGGCAGGATCCATACATAGCTTTAAGAAGAGGTATGATAAAGCTCATGTAGCAGGAAGAGTGACCCAGTAGCGGCCAGTGAAGAGGCGGGGCCAGGAGCTGTGACTCGACTCCTGCAACCACAACTACGTGAGCACACCCACACACACACACACACACACACACACACACACACACACACACACACACACACACACACTAGTAGTAAAGAGAACATCTTGACCTCCTTGAGGCGCTGTGCGTGTGTCTGATGAACAAGTCAGGACTGATGAGAGGGTGAGGAGGGGGTTGTAGTCTCGGCGTGGGGGTAATCTTCAAGTAAGTTGGGGTGGAGGTCGTCATGGAAGGTGGGGGGGGTCGTGGAGGTAGTCAGGGAGTTTAAAAAAAGATGACCTGACTGAAATGTGACTCTGCTGTTCTTTAGTCTGTGTACTTCAGTTTAATTTTGTTTATTATTATTGTTATTATTGTTATTTTGAAGTTTATGTTCGCCTGTGTTGTTATCAACATCAATGTCGGCATTATCATTATTGTCAGCAATAATGTCATCATTATCGGCATCATTATCATCAGTGCCGTCATCATTATCATCAATGTTGTCACTATTATCATCACTGTCATCAGTGTAGTGTTTACCTGCTTGAGATAACGTTAATTGTGTGTGTGCGTGTGTGTGTCGTGTCAGGACTCGCATGAAGGCGCAAAACACCTTGACCATCGCTGCTGTAAGAATCGCCTACGGGAACGACCTTTAAAGACGACCACGCCAACGACTCCCAAGACGCTTACTAGAACGACTCCCAAGACGCCTACCAGAACGACTTCGACTCCGCCTACAAGAACGCCTTCCACAACGGCCGTGGCTACCAGCAGCGTTCACCATACGAGAGTTTTGTAAGTACCGTCTCCCTTGTGTTACATTGTTGGATTGTGTTGCATGTTGCTCTAAACCCGTGTGAGTGGTGGAGATTGGGGGGGGGGTGCTTGAGCCTCCGTCCGGTGATGACTGACCGAAATGACTAACTTTGGCTGCTGCTACTGACTATCATGATTGGGATATGTGACTTACATTGCTGTTCTCTCTCTCTCTCTCTCTCTCTCTCTCTCTCTCTCTCTCTCTCTCTCTCTCTCTCTCTCTCTCTCTCTCTCTCTCTCTCTCTCTCTCTCTCTAGGAGCTGAGTTTTGGAAGATAAGAGGAGCTGACAGTTCTGAAAGATAAGAGGTGCTGACAGTTCTGAAAGGTGAGAGGGACTGACAGCTCTGATACAGACGCTGGCAGCTCTGAAAGATACAGGAGCTAACAGTTCCGCAAGAAAAAGTAGCTGACAGCTGTGACAGACTGTCAACATATATCCCCCTGTCAGCTATCATGTAACGGGGAATGAAAAAAAAGAGACAGCTAAAATTAAAAAAAACAAAAAAAAACCAAAGGGTAAAGGGGATAGTTCCCTTTGAAGGGGTTCGTTAGTGGCCGCTCCGCCCCCTTGGAACACGATTTTAGTGGACGATATTTTCCCCTGGACAGTGTAAAAAATATATGAAGCATTGGTAGGCATTTTTTTTTTTTAAAGAATTTTTTTTAGAAAGTATATATGTGGTTATGAGTGTTGGTAACTATGTGGTATGCTTTATGTGGTGACTTGAACGTCTATACATACATATTGTTATTATTAAGGACAAGGTATGCATATTAGATCTCGTGTTGTGGGTTATAAGAACATGGGAAATGAGGAACACTGCAATAGGCCTATTGGCCCATACTGGGCAGGGCTTTCTCAACTACCACCCGCAAACAAAAATATTTGCCCATCCCATTTTCAATGTTCCCATCCCATTTTCAATGTTCCCAGCCCATTTTCAATGTTCCCAGCCCATTTTCAATGTTCCCAGCCCATTTTCAATGCAGGACAGGGCAGGCCGTCATAGGCGTCTCACTATTTTCCAATATACACTTGAATACTGCTTCCTGCTCAGCCTTCAATGTTTCCCACTCTACGATGTTTCCTTCCCACCTACCACTAGCCCTCGCCATCACCTGCTCACAGCTCACCACTCCCACCACCACCCCAGCATTGCAACACTTCAACACAATTACAAGTGCTCTGCACAATCACGTCTACTGCCTCACTCCCAACTCAGTCATTCTTGCATCGCCAAAATTAACATTCCCAGCGCTCACGAACTAGCATATATTTCTAGCGCTCACGAGCTAGCATATATTTCCATCGCTCACGAACTAGCATATATTTGCAGCGCTCACGAACTAGCATATATTTCCAGCGCTCACGAACTAGCATATATTTCCAGCGCGCACGAACTAGCGTATATTTCCAGCGCTCACGAACTAGCGTATATTTCCAGCGCTCACGAACTAGCGTATATTTCCAGCGCTCACGAACTAGCATATATTTCCAGCGCTCACGAACTAGCATATATTTCCAGCGCTCACGAATTAGCATATATTTCCAGCGCTCACGAACTAGTTTCTTCAGTCAAATACAGAGGTAAAAGGTGTAGTGAAACAAAGATGATGTAATCAGTCCATCAACTTTGGAGAAAAATTATTTGAAGTGGTCAGTCCTTCAGCCTGGAGAAGAGTTCAGTTCCATGGTCTGGAACGATATATCGTTCCAGACCATGGAGATCAACTTCTCCAGGCTGAGGGACTGATTACCTCAAATACGTTTTCTCCAAGGTTAATGGACTGATTACATCATCTTTGTTTCATTTCTTCTGCTCCCTTTGTATTTGGCTGAAGAAGCCTACTGTGTAGGCGAAACGTTTCGTCAATAAAGATACCCAACTGTTACTTATGCTTTTTAATCTTCGTTTCCTCGTCTCCTGAACGCGTAAGATGGTAGATAAATCTTAAGATACTCCTGTATACGCTTAGATAAATATATCTTAATTGGTTTGAGTCTGAGAACGAGCCTCCGGGGCGATTAACCCCGGAACTATCAACAAATATAATGTCAGACTGCAGCCAGAGATGGTAGATATGAGCCAGTTAAACGGCAGGCTGTAGCCATACAGGTGACAGGCCTGATACAAAGAGAAGGCAGACTGTGGTCAAATAGATAGCAGGCTGGAGCCAGATAGACAGAGGGCAGAGCCAGACGTTGCAGGTGGAGTGTAGGTGTGTGGCTAGTGAGGTGTAGCGTGGGTGCACTCAGCAAGGTGAGGCCCTGGGAAGCTGCCTCAGGCAGACTTCCCGCCGACTCCACGCTGGAGTGGATATCATTTGTACAGGCAGCGTTATCCCTGAGAGCAGCCAGACCAGGAGCTGCAACACAGCTAGCGTGATCCCAGGTCTGAGATAATCTGTGACTTGTGTTGAAAATATTCTACCCACTTCATCTCTTGTACACTTCCTCCTAAGGAAATTCTGTCCTTCCCTTTAAAGACATGGGGATATTCTACACAATAAATTGACTTGCCCTTCGATCTCCTATTGTGTTGGTGCACAGAAGCATGCTTCACCGTTCCTTGGCTACCTTCAGACCATTTTCACATGGTTCCTGTTTCCCATCTAGATTTTTGATGATGAGTGAGAGACATGTGTAACACTAGTGTTGCAGATACTCAGCTGTTGCACATGTGTCTTAATCATCATTTGGTGTTGCACATGTGTCTTACTCTTCAGTACACAGCCCGCACTTAGGAGACTGAAACATCGTCATTGTGACTTTATTCTTGAACATCAAAATGGTATACAATACTGACAGGTTGGTAGGTAAGACACATAGACAACAGTTAGGCAACTTTATTCCGAAACGTTTCGCCTACACAGTAGGCTTCTTCAGTCGAATACAGAAAGTAGGCAGGAACAGTAGAGATGAAGAAGCCTACTGTGTAGGCGAAACGTTTCGGAATAAAGTTGCCTAACTGTTGCCTATGTGTCTTACCAACCGACTTTATTCTTCATCTCGTTTGATCTGCTGAATCAGCAGATCAGCAGTGCTGATGTACTCACTAGAAAACTTGGTGACTTGAGCAGCCAGGCCGGGAACTGCAACACAACCAGTTATTGCCATCTATCACTTGTCTTCGCCCTTTCCGACGCTTTCTCCCTTAAGTGATCACGGGGGTCATCCCCCCCATGTCCCGGTCTCAGACCAGACCTCATTAATTAGAAAGGGAATGTGCCTTAAGAATTGCTAAGAAATTCACAGGAAGTAAAGTTAAGTATATACTGAATTTAAGTAGAGGTTTGTAAGATTTACCTGTTAATCTTACGTGTTTGCCAGACAGAAAGAAAATGACAACAATCTTGCCAAATTACAAGATGTTAACAGGCTTCCGTTTTGGACTAATGTATGGCAGGACGGTAGTTCTTACCTGAATAGTCTGTCTATACCCTATTACTTACCTCTGCTTACTATTCTAGCTTACAGATATCTTCAAAATATCTGTTTCTCCTGTGTAAGGGATAGACTGTCATGAGAGATGGCAGTTACCAAGTTATAGTAACTATAGCTAAGCTGGAAGGAAACTTCTAAAGCTGCTATAGCTGACGAATTCTTTCTTTAATATTTAACAATATCCTCGTTGCTATACGCCGGGTCACCATCTGGACAAGGCCCGGGCCGGGACAGTTCCGGTGAACCTACTGCTGCTACTCGTTGCTCTACTGAAGTCTCCCAGCTCAGTCTGGCAGATTTCAACACCTTGTATAAACCCCATCCTGCGTGATGGAATATTTACCTAGAGTATACCTGAAGGTCGTTCCGAGGGTCAACGCCCCCGCAGCCCAGTCCTTGACTAGGCTTCTCGGTTGATCAGGACCTGATCAACCAGGCTGTTACAGCTGGCCGCACGTAATCCAACATACGAACCACAGCCCGGCAAATCAGGTACTGACTTTTGGTATTTTGCCATATATGACAGGGAAGGATAGATTTTGTAACTGTCATATAGAATAAGGCTGCAACATACCGCTGATGTATCTTATTTCGTTAAAACAAACTTATGCAACAGCCTCTGGGGGGGACGTCTCCGATTGTTTCTTGGTTTAGAAAGACACCTGAGTAAACACGAAGACATAGCTGGGAAATATGTTCTAGTGTTACCTCACGTGTTTTTCTAAACCAATTTGTCGGTATCTATTTCCAAGGTTTAAACCAAATTGTTTATTACGATCTACCCATCCTTATCCTTCTTGTTGTAATAATGTTGGTAGAATTATCAACAGTACAACTACTTCGGCAACTAATGCCACAATAAAATGTCGCATGTGTCCTTGTTCCTAACATCTTTCTTGTTGTATCTCACCAGCTGTCTCTGAACTCCAGTAGATTCGTCAGACAGGAGCTGTTTCTGAATCCCTGTTGGTTTCCACTGATACTGTTGAAGCTCTCTCCCCTGCAGGTGCTCCGGTAGTCTCCTGTTAATCCTCACCATGTAGAAAGAACAGAGGCACAATACTACTACTACTACTACTACTACTTCTACTACTACTACTACTACTACTACTACTACTACTACTACTACTACTACTACTACTACTACTACTACTACTACTACCATCACTACCACCATTACTACCAATACTACCACTACCACCACCACTACTACTACCACTACCACCATTACTATCACCACTACTACTACTACTACTACTACCACTACTACTACTACTACTACTACTACTACTACTACTACTACTACTACTACTACTACTACCACTACCAGCATTACCACTACTTTTTCTTCCTCTCTTTCTCCCGTCCCTGTCCTCCTTCGCCTATGTATATTCACTGGTTCACTCATTCTCTTGTCAGTGTGACTTGTCAATGGTCCAAATTGGACCGAAACGTCGCCATAAGCTTTTCTCTCTCTCCTATGTGCGGGTTATTTGTGTATTCACTATATAGATAAATGATTCAGAAAATCGA